CACCTGAGGTCAAGTGTGGAATTTTCCACTAGTGGTGTCAGGTCAATGCTCAAAAGTTTGAGATTGGGCCAGCCGGTGGCATGGTGGTTAAGGCGCTGGATCCTACATGGCCAACACCACAGTTTGAATCCCGGGTCTGGTGGCCTGGAAAAACACACCAGGAGCATGTGCGTGCCTGCCCCAAGTCCTGAGAGGAGACCCGAGGAGAAGGGACTGTGGTGTAGCCATTCTCCCCTGAGCGTGATTTCTCCCTTTCCCTTTCTTGCTTTCTCTCCCTCTCTCGTGTGCAAGTCCATGTGCCCTGTAGCAAAAATCTCTGGAAAAAAAATAAAAGTTTTGCATTTCGGAGCATTTCGGAGCATTTCGGATTACAACTCTTTGGATTAGGGATGCTCAGCCCGCACCGGGTCCAGTGGCCCTGTCACAGCCTCCTTGTGGACTGAGCTGCACGTGACCTCCGTGGGGGGGCTGGCTCTAGGACTCCTGATGCCAAAGGTCAGGAAGTGGCTGAGACGTTTAATGGGCCTGAGGGGTTTGCGAGGAGACCTGCTACAGACGTTTACGGGCGACCTGCCTGCCCAGCTCGGACGACACCTTCTTTTAGAATTTTCTTTTACTCTCCCTGATTTTCAAGACAGACTCTCTTTTTTTTTTTTTTAAATTAACTTATTATTTTTCAATTTGATAAGAGAGAGATAGAGAGAAGTGAGAGAGCAAACTGCCAGGTCCAGGACTCGAACTGTGGTCAGCTGTGTGGGAGTCCAGCACCTTAACCACCATGCCACCTGTATATGGGCGTTTCAGAGGAGGCCCTGGGACAAGCTCAGGGTTAGAGGCTCAGATGCCCGAGTGGAGCTTCTGCACTAGTGCTGTCAAGGGGCCGGGGCTGACCGTGTAGGGCTGCATGTCCTGAGATGGCTCGCGGGGACCCCACCAGGGCGACAGGCAGGCAGAGTGGCACGCAGTGGAGGCAGGTGTGTCCCTGGCTGTCTCTGTAGAGTGACCACCGGGAGAAGTGGACCTGAAACGAGGGTGTGGCCTCTGCTTTGGTAGGATTCACAGGCTGCTGGGGGGCCGATCTGTGGTGTGGAGGTTAAGGCAGCTGGATTCCACATGGCCAACTGCGTACTTCGAGTTCCAGACCCGGGTGACTTGAAAACTACACTGGGTGTGCGTGCGTGCCCAAAATCCCAAGAGGAGAATGGAGGAGAAGGGGTTGTGGTGTGGCCACCCCCCGGGGGGTGATTCCACACTCTCTCTCTCTTTCTCTCCAGGGAGTGAATAACCCTTATAGAAAACTAAACAAAAAAACAGTGGATACCGTGCTCATGAATTCCTTTGCAGTGCTCCTAGTATAACAGAGGAACAGAATGGTTTGTTGTCGTTTCTTTCAGGTTAAACTCGGAGCTTCCTCTGTTTGCTTTTGGCCCATGTACCGTGATGAGCCCGAACACAAGATACTGGTTTTGGTTAACCCCCAGGACACAAAGACAGGTTGGTGGTTACTGTTATTATTTTTTTAAGAATTATTTTATTTAATTTTATTTATTTTAATTAAAAAAAGAATTATTTTATGATTTATTTATTTATTTATTGGAGAGGTTTTTGCTATAGGGCTTGTGCACTCGCCAAAAAGACAGAAAGCGAGAAATCACCCCCTAGAGGGGATGGCCACGCCGCAATCCCTTCTCCTCCATTCTCCTCTTGGGATCTTGGGCACGCACGCACACGCGCCCGGCGTGAGTTTAAGCCACCAGTCTGGGATTCGAACTGCGGTCGACTGCATGGGAGTCCAGTGACACAGCCATTACGCTAACTGCTGGTCCCAAGGGATGTTGTATTTTATCAAATGCTTTTTCTGCATCTGTAGATATGACATGTGATTTTTATCTTTTTTCCTGTCAATGTGATGTATCACATTGTTGCAATTGCTGTTCTTAGTTTTAAAATGATTTATTTAATTGTATTTCTTTTTATTATTTTTTAACTGGACCCGAGAACGAAGGAGAGAGAGAGAGGAAAATGAGAAAGCAAGCCACCAGGTGTGGGACTCAAACCATGGTCAGCTCTGTGAGAGTCCAGTGCCTTAACCACCACGCCACCTGCCAGCCCCCATTGCTGTTCTTATTCACAGCAATGCACAGAATTATGCGCACTGGGTGGGGCCCTGTGGTTGGAGTGTCCCCACCGCCCTGTGACGCAAAGGAGCCAGCTGCATCTCCCACACAGAGGAGTACGCGAGGCCTCTGCGTCGTCACTAACGTTTCTGAGGCCACACAGCTATGGCCTGCGAGGGAAGCTTTCGCAAGGTGGAGATTAGGTGGGGGTTTCGTGAGTGGTGGTGAAGTTTCTGCAGTCTGCATCTCGTTTGTCCTTCCTCTGCATTACGAAGGGACCTTTAGTGTGGGGCTTTTAGCTTCTGGGAGCTAATGCTCTGGGGAAGAGCCGTCTCCCCCCAATACTCAGCTGCTGTGGGGTAGGGGTTTGGCGGTCTTGAAGGTGGGCTCCAGGGTTGACGGTGGGCTTCGGGGTTGACGGTGGGCTTCGGGGTTGACGGTGGGCTCCGGCGTTGACAGTGGGCATTGTGAGGTGGGAGGAGGGGAGAGGTCCGGTCCGTTGGTATCAGTGCTGGCGAGTCGAAGTGAGGCACTTCATATCTGACCTGGTGGGGTTCCCTATTTAACTCCAATCCTATTTAGAAATTTTCTCCTTTTTTATACTTTTCTGTGTTTTAGAGACTCCTTCCTCCCTTCATTTCTTCCTCTCCTCTTCTTATTTAAATTTTAATTATTTTTAAAGAATTATTTATTTATTATCATTATTTTCCATTTTGACCAGAGACAGAGAGAAGAGAGAGAGAGAGAGAGAGAGAGAGAGAGCAAGCTGCCGGGTTTGGGACTTGTACTGGGTTTCAAGCCACCGGGTTTGGGACTTGTACTGTGGTCGGCCATGTGGGAGTCCAGTGCCCTTAACCACCACACCAGCCTGCCGGCCCCTCCTCCTCTTATTTTGCTAGAAGGTGTGTGTACCCACCGGAGAGAGACAGAGAGAGAGAGGAAGAGAGGAGAACAGGGAAAGCACTTCCCATGGAGAATGGTCACATTGCAATCCCTTCTCCTCCATCTCTCTGTTCTTTCAGGATTTAAAAAGTAATTATTATTTTATTTAAATTTATTATTATTATTATTTTCCAGTTTGATCAGAGAGAGAGAGGAGGAAAGTGAGAAAGCAAGCCACCAGGTCCAGGACTCGAACCTCAGTCGGCCACGTGGGCATCCCACGCCTTTAACCACCACAGCACCCACCAGCTTCCCTTTCAGGTTAAGCACGCAGTATAGGCATCTGAGGTTTCTCAAGCTGCCGGGTCCAGGACTTGAACCCTGCAGTTGGCTATGTGGGATCTAGCTGCCTTAGCCTCCATGCCATGAGCTGGCCTTTACAGATTTATTTTTACATGGACTGTATTGCTTTCCTTATAAGAAATAATAACAACAATAAAGCTTAATTGGTCAACTCTCCTGTATATATCACACCCTGAGAAAAACAAGTAGGGAATCGAAAAACGATTTTTTTTTTCCTGGAAAAACATGTTCTTTAGAGCCCGAAGTGACAGCAAGAGCGAAGGCAAACCGGAGCTGCCTCGGGGCCGCCTTCGGAGTGGCTGGGCCGGGCCCGGGGACTGCGACACGACAGGCCTGCAGCCAGACCCTCTCGGGGCTGTGTCTGGGGCCGGTGGTGGGTCAGGGACCCCGAGCATTGAAAACTGCCCCGGAGGCACCTCTGACACCTTGCTTGGGGTTCGGAGGTCCTATCTGGGCAGCCTGTCACCCCTGTTCCCTGCAAGGTGCCCAGATTTGAGCACTGGTAGGTTAGAAAGGGACAGGGGTGAGGGTTGGGAGTTTCTGACTCCCAGACAGAGACTAAGCAACAGTAGCCCAGTCCCTGCTTGTGGGCCTCCGTTTCCTGGGGGTGCTGGGATGGATGGGGTCCAACCTTGCCCTGCACAGCAGGATGCACCTGCCAGGGGTGTCAGTGGAATGGGATCTCTGTGTATATCCAGAGAGTGACACGTGGAAAGGAGTCCCCGCTCGCTGGGTCTCTGCCCAGGGATGAGTAATGGTGGTGGTTCCGTGTTGAAGCGTGAGGGCCCACAGAGTCAAGACCTCCAAGGATGTAGAGGGAGGGGTTCCCTGAACCCACTTCAGGAACTGCCTGCTTCACAGGCACCCTGTTTGCACAGGAAACAGGCCTCGCTCCTCTGTCTGTCTCTCTGTGTCTCTCGCAAGCGCACATGCCCTGTAGCAAAAATCTCTCTTAAAGAAATGAGTTTATTTTAGTGCCATATTTTTTGAAATCCGTGTGTGGTGTTTTTCACAATATGCACCTCTCTCTCTCTCTGTTTTTTTTTTTTTTTTTTAGAGAAAATTTTGATATAGGGCACATGCTCTCGGTGGAGAATCAGAAAGCAAGAAATCACCCCCCTGGGGTGATGGCCATGCCGCAATCCCTTCTCCTCATTCTCCTCTTGGGATTCTGGGCACGCACGCACACACACCCTGCGTGAGTTTTAAGTTGCCGGGTCTGGGACTTGAACTGTGGTTGACGATGTGGGAGTCCAGCGACGTAACCATCATGCCATCTGCTGGTCCCTCT